GAAGGCCAATTGTCACATGCGAGGAAGCTGATTATTTACGTGTCATCCGTTTCACTTTATTCGTCTTGTGCTCCAAGACGGTAACCATAGAGACCTCTAAAGGCTTCTTGGTTGGCATCTCTCACATGATGGACGCGTGTTCCAATACGCAGTTGGCCTCTCTCACATGATGGACGCGTGTTCCAATACGCAGTTGGCCTCTCTCACATGATGGACGCGTGTTCCAATACGCAGTTGGCCTCTCTCACATGATGGACGCGTGTTCCAATACGCAGTTGGCATCTCTCACATGATAGACGCGTGTTCCAATACGCAGTTGGCCTCTCTCACATGATGGACGCGTGTTCCAATACGCAGTTGGCATCTCTCACATGATGGACGCGTGTTCCAATACGCAGTTGGCATCTCTCACATGATGGACGCGTGTTCCAATACGCAGTTGGCATCTCTCACATGATGGACGCGTGTTCCAATACGCAGTTGGCATCTCTCACATGATGGACGCGTGTTCCAATACGCAGTTGGCATCTCTCACATGATGGACGCGTGTTCCAATACGCAGTTGGCATCTCTCACATGATGGACGCGTGTTCCAATACGCAGTTATAAACTTCAAAATAATGTTATTGTTTCCTGCTTATTATATTTTAGATTTTTTTTCTAATTCAATATTTTTCAAATAGTTTTTTCTGTAATACATAATTCACGACGTATTTTTGTATAATTTACAAATTAGTTTTATTTCGCATGTTAATTTATGTCCAAATATGTAGTAATATATATTTTTAATTAATTTAATGCGTATACAATTATAAATGATTTCCAGATCGCATGATAATTTTCAGTATACGTAATCTGTGACAGTACTTGATACCACACATCAAACTTCAGATGCGAATGAAGTAGTTTCGCAGAAGTGTAAGTACTCCCAAGGAGGAGGAGGAGAGTACAGTAGTTACACAGGCCTGACTGCATAATATTTTGATGTAATAACCTAAATTCATTACGTTTTCAACCACCCAATGTTTTTATCCTCTACACTTAATGAGGCCTTTCTATGGATACACACACACACACACACACACACACACACACACACACACACACACACACACACACACACACACACACACACACACACAGTAGAACTGTAGAGCTGGATCAACTGTCAATCAACCGGTCTGTACACCGTTTGATTGACAGTTGAGAGGCGGGACCAAAGAGCCAGAGCTCAACCCCCGCAAGAACAACTAGGTGAATACACACACACACACACACACACACACACACACACACACACACACACACACACACACACACACACACACACACACACACACACACACACACACCTACCCACCTACACTTCCATGAATACCCACACCCCCACCCTCCTACCTACCCTTCCATAAATACCCCCATCCCCACCCACCTACCCTCCCCACCATACCCCATCCTGCCCACACCTCTGCGCCACGTTAACAAAGACCTCCATCAATTTTCCAGCATTTCTACCAGCATCTCACAGTACATCTGGCCTCGTGCTGCTCAGAGACGCGTGCGGGGTGGAACAGAAGGGAAGGGGGTTGGGAGGAACGCTGAGAGGAGAGAAGGAATGGAGAGGGGAAGAAAGATGAAAGAGAAAGGGGGAGGGATGACGATGGGCAAAGGGGAAAACCAACCGAACTTTTATTTTTGAAGTCGGCTGACTCGTGAAGATGTGAACACAAGTGGGGAATTGGAGAGTGAGAGAGTGAGAGAGAGTGAGAGAGTGAGAGTCGGTACCAAGAAATAGCGTGATCTCGTAGGAGGGAGTGTGACCTGCCTAGTGTATTTTTTTATTATTATTATAATTTTCTACCACAGACGTGGCCAGACATTTACAATGCTAAACAGCATATATACATTTTTTCTGGCCTCCGTGAACAGGGGTTAGATATCTGTTAGACATATAGTTCAGTGATTTATTGAACCACACAAGGTGATTGTAGTGCTTTTAAAATGCTAATCTAACCTACAAACATATATTACATAGATTTACGGCTCTCCTACTTAAACAGTGTTTAAGTAGGTGAGTACACTACTTAAACAGTGTTTAAGTAGGACACTTAAACATAGTCATTAATGTGCGTTTACAAAGGAGAAATGCAATTCTAACCAGTTTCCACATACCTTGTATACAACATACACACACATACACATATATACACGTGAGTAAATCACGAAAATTAACACGTGATGAAAAATGTGACAGTGTCACACCACAAAGGAAGAATTAAAACATTAATTTCCTCAAGTACTTTCGTATTTTAACAATACATCTTCAGAAGGAATCCTTCTGAACGTGTATTATTAAAACACGAAAGTACTTAAGGAAATTCCTGTTTCAATTCTTCCTCCGTGGTCTGACACTGTCATATATACACATATACCTTCCCATATACACATAAGAACATAAGAACAAAGGCAACTGCAGAAGGCCTATTGGCCCATATATATACACATACAACTATGTGTATGTATGTGTAGTATTGTACACACTACACCACCGCCTGGTGTAGTGTGACAGGCAGGTCACACTACACACAAGGTGTACACAGATAGAGTAACGTTGTCTGTGAGAGCTTATCACTCGCTATATCTGGCGTATTTATATATTGGAAATGTAATTGTTGCCATTAATTCTAAAATCGTGTACACCAATTTTGATTATATATATATATATATATATATATATATATATATATATATATATATATATATATATATATATATATATATATATGCAACAATGATCACAAAAACACTGATCCAAGTATGCAGAATAACCACATATGAAAAATAGAAAATGCTTAACGCGTTTTCGGCTAATTCGCCTTCATCAGATCAAAGTAGAATCTACTTTGATTCTACTTTGCTCTGATGAAGGCGAATTAGCCGAAAACGCGTTAAGCATTTTCTATTTTTCATATGTGGTTATTCTGCATATATATATATATATATATATATATATATATATATATATATATATATATATATATATATATATATATATATATATATATATATATATATATATGTATATATATATATATATATATGTTAAGATGTTTCTACATTTAAGAAAAAGAACGAGATTAAAATCCAAACCACTTGGTAACCATCGTGAAAATTGTTTCACTACTCTAATAAATGAGTTTTGTTTAGCACTAAACCCACTGTTAATTACTATAAGATGAATTGCTGTTGCAATATATTATTAACAACATATCGGCATGCTAAATTCATTAAATTAATGTATATTCAAAATAATAATAATAATAATAATAGACTATGTGTAACGAGGTGAATATTGCATAACTTGTTAGTGCTATAAAGCAAAAATGTATAATACTCTGGAGCTTGATTGTATGAACCCGGCTGCTGCAACACTACGGAGAGATTACTGTAAAAGCCTCAATATCACATTTCACACATTAAAATGCATCCGACAAATTGTTTGTGATATAGAGGTCCGCACTGGATTATCTTCAACCCCACCCCACCCTCTCTCTCTCCCCACACACACCTGTCCCCCACACACACCTGTCCCCCACACACACCTGTCCCCTACACACACCTGTCCCCACACACACACCTGTCCCCACACACACCTGTCCCCACACACCTCACCCCACACCTCACCACACACACACACACACACACACACACACACACACACACACACACACACACACACACACACACACACACAAAATATATATATATATATTTTGAGCTGAAATACACACTGTTTCTATTGGGTGTCTTTGATATATTAAAACGCAAGAACAAAGTAATAGACTAACTAGTCCCATCTTCTTGAGGTTATCTTGAGATAATTTCGGGGCTTTAGTGTCCCCGCGGCCCGGTCCTCGACCAGGCCTCCACCCCCAGGAAACAGCCCGTGACAGCTGAATAACACCCAGGTACCTATTTTACTGCTAGGTAACAGGGGCATAGGTTGAAAGAAACTGCCCATTGAGGAAGAGTGTCTGCCACACTCTTCCCAGAGCCCAGACATGATTTACGAGGAAAGACTAACAGGAATTAAGTCTCACGTCACTGAAAGCTATATCAATTAATGGAAACATGATTACCACATACAAAATTATCATGGGAAATGGACAGAGCAAATAACAGCAGGCTATTTGGAATGGTTGCTACACGAGCAAAGGTGACACAGGTCGAAATTTAAGTTCACAAAGGAACCACAATAATTAAATGTCTTAGAGAATAAATGGAATTGTCTTAGAAGGGAATGGGTGCAGGCAGACTTATGTACATATGATAACTCAACACACTCTGGAATTTGCATACCAGTTGATTGAAGGTTAAAGAGGTGGAACCCAAGAACTGAAACTCGACTCTCTCAAGCACAGCTATAGACGAATACAACCCGAAGCACACCTTGGTAACGAGGCATTTCTTAACACCTTTTCCCCCATCATATCCTTCACATTTTCTCCCGTATCTAAGACGCTCACCTGACCTGCGCCCCATCACGGGTCTCGACCCTATGGAGGTCGGCGGCTGTTGCGTCTCACGAAGTCTGTAAAAGAATGACTGGAGGGTCGTAGAGCAGAGGAGAGGCCCGGCACGAGCATGTACCTCCATCAGCGTAAACCCGACCGCCTTCACCGTCTCCATCCCGAGGAGCAAGGCATATCCTGGCCCTCCGGATTAAACGTATATGATAAACGTGACGATGTACGACGGTGCTGATAGGCAGGACGTGATGGCGGAGAGCTGTATTGTGGTGATGGGCTACGTCGCGGCCCTTCTGATGGGTTATAAATCGCCACCTACCCGCCGTTCCGCCCTCCATGGTGGATCCTCCATTATCCTCCGCGAGTATAGTAACAAAAATGAACTTCACCTCGTCATGATTTTGTTTCATTTGTCATGAAGCTGTGAACGACAAGTCAAGATTCGCCACTGAACAGTTGCATGGTTCATCTCTAATATCTCAACACGCAATATTTTGTGGCATTAGATACCATCGATCTGCTTCTTGCTGTTGGGTCCGTTGATGTCGGGGTCCGTTGATGTCGGGTCCGTTGATGTCGAGGTCCATTGATGTCCGGGTCCGTTGATGTCGGGGTCCGTTGATGTCGGGATTCGTTGATGTCGGGGTTCGTTGATGTCGAGGTCCGTTGATGTCGGGGTCCGTTGATGTCTAGGTCCGTTGATGTCGGGGTCCGTTGATGTCGGGGTCCGTTGATGTCTAGGTCCGTTGATGTCGGAGTCCGTTGATGTCGGAGTCCGTTGATGTCGGGGTCCGTTGATGTCGGGGTCCGTTGATGTCTAGGTCCGTTGATGTCAAGATCCGTTGATGTCGGGGTCCGTTGATGTCTAGGTCCGTTGATGTCGGAGTCCGTTGATGTCGGAGTCCGTTGATGTCGAGGTCCGTTGATGTCAAGATTCGTTGATGTCAAGATCCGTTGATATCGAATTTCGTTGAGGTCGAAGTCGTGAATTAGGTACATTACTGAAATACGATACACCGACGCAACGCATCAATATGTAGCCATTTTGTATCACCTCAAAGAATTGTTTAATACCGACGCTCACCAAAATTCAGTGAAAATGTTTGATTGAAATCACGAAGGAATACCTGCAGTTCTTTGAAGCTTGTTGAAGAATACTTTTTTTATCATGCTCTTTTAATATATATTTTACCTAAACATTCCAATTCGAGAGGAAGGTTTACGTTCGTTTTATCAGGCAAGTGTAGGTCTGTGTCTCTTAAGTTCCTTCTTATTTATCTTACAGCTTTGGAAAAGATATAAGTTACATAGATGTTTCTGTAATATATATGGGTTGGTGTGTGTGTGTGGGGGGGGGGGGATGTGTGTGTACTCACCTAGTTGTGCTTGCGGGGGTTGAGCTCTGGCTCTTTGGTCCCGCCTGTGTGTGTTGGAGCATGTGTAAGTCTGGTTTATCCAGTCTTGTGCTACTGTAGGCTTTATAATTAGCTTCCTATGAGCTAATTACTCATGCAAATTGATGTGGTTGCGGAAAGAAACGCCAAGAGACTTGGTAATGAAATGCCTGTAAGATTTGATGCACGTTTAATGACGGGACCAATTTTGGGGAGTCCTGTAGACGGAAGACCCATTTTTACGCCGAAATGGCTGAATTCCTTCATATTTGTACTTTACGTTATCAATTAGATGGTGGATTGTCCCATGATGGTCACGGTCGGTTATCCCATGACTTTCCCAACGTGACAGGTATAATATGTTTGACGGGTGAACACTGCAAAGGTTCGATCCCCCACGGTAATGGTGGTCGCTTGCAAGCATAAATACGTCATGGACAGGATACACGGACAGGGGGAGGCTTCCGTCCAGCAAAGTGACAGCTCCGCCCGTCGCATCCACGCTGGCCATTAGTAGAGACCCCTATAGTCTCCCCGTCACCCACATATCCCATCCCAAATGATCATTAGTGGAGGCCAGTTTCTGAAGGCTGCCTTTATATCGAGGATGGAGAAAGGTCATAGTTCTGTGCTGTATCTTCTTGCTGCCCCCAAGTACGGCGATGAAATTTAGACCTTCTGAGAATGGCGTTGTATTCAACTGGAGTGTCTAATATAACCCCCCAGTGAATATATTGTACCGCTCCTTGTTAGTGTACATAATGGGGGAACAACAACATCTGATGTATCGAGAAGTTGGGATGTTTTGATTATATGATGTTGAACCAGAAAGGTTCATTTTGTAAGCCCACATCGGAGACATCTGTGAACACTCGTAGCGACGAGGAACGGATCAACCTCACTGTTGTATCTTCGAGATTTGTCTTTAGGTAAGCGAGGGGAAGGGAATTACCAGGGGACAGCGCCATGCCGTTACGACTAAATAACACTGGGAAGGGATCAGGATAAGGATTTGGGATGGGACGGGGGGAGGAATGGTGCCCAACCACTTGGACGGTCGGGGATTGAACGCCGACCACCATGAAGCGAGACCGGCGCTCTACTGTCCAGGGGCTAGATTCACAAAGAAGTTACGCAAACACTTACGAACCTGAACATCTTTTCTCAATCTTTGGCGGCTTTGTTTACAATTATTAAACAGTTAATGAGCTTCGAGGCACCAGGAGGCTGTTTATAACAATAACAGTTGATTGGGAAGTTTTCATGCTTGTAAACTGTTTAATAAATGTAACCAATTTTCCAGATTGGTTACATTTATTTTCCAGATTTCGAGATCTTTCCTCAATTCCAGATTGAGGAAAGATGTATACGTTCGTAAGTACTTGCGTAACTGCTTCGTGAATCTGGCCCCAGCCCAAGTGGCTGGAGCGAGTGAGTGTTGTTTTGATGAGTAGTTAGAGCGAATTATGAACTCTGGCTGCCTAAGAGATCTTTGCTCCGTGTAAGTGTTGTAGGATATGTTAATAGGATTGTCTTAACTGCAGAGCTCTTAGGCGACAGCTCAGTGTAAATCTCCACTAAGCCTTAGCTCATTTAACAGACACGTCACCTCAGAGCGCTACCGAATGCTTGGAGACATGTAAGATGTCTCTAAGTGCCTGTCGTGCCTGTCTATGTTTCCTGTGTGTTTAATTGCATCGCCTATTTCCCAAGTGTGAGGATTGGGACGGCACCGCTCCTGTGCCAGGTAAGTCCACTACGGGCTCACCATAGCCCGTGCTATTTGCCCCGCTCCTGTGCCAGGTAAGTTACGGGCCCGTGCTACTTGGAACTTGTTCCGAGTAGCTGAATCTATAACAACAACAACAGCAACCCCAAGTGTGTGGTCATTGACCAAGAAACCGGGACTTAATTGTCTAGAGAATACTCCAGGGGGTTGGGGAAGAAGGTGCTCATCCTGGACACATTTCTGTCCATCAGGGTAGTATATTTATCAGGGTAGAATTTGGTATTCTTGATCTTGTATATTTCAGTGTTCACCACGTGCATGGTCACGGAACGTAAGGTCACGCCTTCCCCCTCCAGTCTCTGGCTCTATAGCTGCCATACTGCCACCCGAGACATCTGATTGATTGATGAAGATTAAGCCACCCAAAAGGTGGCACGGGCATGAATAGCCCGTAAGTGGTGGCCTTTTTGAGCCATTACCAGTATCAAGAGCTGATACTGGAGATCTGTGGAGGTGCCCGAGACATCGACCAACTTGGGTTATTGTGTTGACCTGCCGTGTTTATACTTAAGTAGTTAATGTTTGTTTGGTGTGGGGTAAAGTCCAAGTAACTTTTTGACTGGAACATCTTTACTTACTGAGTAAGTGTTTGTTTCTAGGTCACCTGCCCCATGGGACGCGTGTGGCCGTCATAGACTGACTCCTGTGGGGTCCTGTGGGCTGTGTTGGACACCCCATCACGCCACAGCACCTCGGTCATGTCCACGTTTATTGCCTGTAACAGGCTACTGGTGGCGTGATGAGGCGACTTCTCTGTCTACTATATACCTAAAGGACGTACGTCAAGGATAGTACCCTGTACCTATGTACCTTGAGAGGATAGCCTATCTGCCTCCTCATCATGTGCCTGCACAGTGAAGATACAAAATGAATAGTGTACTTACTACATTGTACTTATCTCATTCCCTTACCTAAGGGGAGATGAGAAAAATTATGGTGATTTTGGTGGAATCGACAAAGTTTTGAGGCTAATCCAATTTGCACGCAAATTTGCACTCAAAAGATCGTAAAACCTGGCACACTAGAGGACTCTGTTGAAATCCCGCTAATATAAATACCACATGTTGTTTAAGATTCGCTACTGGGGAACAAAAAAGTTCCAAGCAGCACGGGCTATGGTGAGCCCGTAGTGGACCTGTGAATCACCACATGCCTTAGTTTTTGACACGTGCGTGGTCACTGCAGCCTGTCACGGCACACTTGGTGCATGTTGAAGTAACAAGTATCACGAGCAACAGGGCCATCCTTGTCAACTGACACACACACACACACACACACACACACACACACACACACACACACACACACACACACACACACACACACACACACACACACACACACACACACACATACATGATAGAGCCCAATAGGCTCAGGAACCTGTACACCTGTTGATTGACGGTTGAGAGGCGGGACCAAAGAGCCAGAGCTCAACCCCCGCAAGCACAACTAGGTGAGTACAACTAGTTGAGCACACACACACACACACACACACACACACACACACACACACACACACACACACACACACACACACACACACACACACACACACACACACAAACACACACACACACACAAGACATCAGTGTACATACCCAACGCGTGCACAATACGGTAACACATGTGGATTAATAACCCACACGTGCCAAGCTCTGAATCATTGGTACAATGGAGCAGTTTCACTCTTGTGCGGAGAGGGTAAATGGTAAGATCTATACATACCTCTACATCCGCTGTGTTGTTGCTGCTGCTGCTACTGACGCCGGGCACGCGAAATCCGATTGCCATTGCTGAATATTATAGAGAGGGAACTCGCTCTAAAACCTGGTGGGTATTGTAGTGGTCGGTTTTTACAATGGTGAGGTTGATTTATCTGGAAACAAACAGATCATTTTCCAGCTCAATATACTGATTTCTAAAGCACTTGGGAGTGGGGGATCCTGATTACTCCAGCTGGTGACTTGAAGTGTTGGGTACGATGTCCTCTGGTGTCTTGACTGCGATTTGGATGGCTTGCTGTCTAGCACCCTACTGTCTGCTGTAACCTGCTGTCTGCAGCGTTCTGTCTGGGACGATCTTCTGTCTGCAGCATCTCTCTTGGATGATTTTTTTTGTCTGTATCATCTGTCTGGGTTGATCTTTTGTCTGCACCATCTCTCTGGGATAATCTTTTTCCCAGGACCAGACGTGTCCCCCCACAGCTGGTGGACCAGACGTGTCCCCCCACAGCTGGTGGACCACACGTGTCCCCCCACAGCTGGTGGACCAGACGAGGTGTGACCGCCTCCCACACTCCCCCCCCCCCACTCCCCCCCCCCCCACAGCCCACGAACCATGGCTGTGTACTGCGACTACTCATTGAAAACCAATATGGATTTCACGGTTGGCCGTCTGCCCAGACCCAGTAAAATATTTCACTGGATTAGTGCTACTCATATACACCAGGAGAGACAAATGTATTTCCGTTGTATCGTTGTATTTGTTGCTTGGAAAAGCTTTGTATTATTATTAGTTTTCGTCAGTGGTCATCTGTTAGGTTCCGAGTTGCTAACCAGTTCCACTTTTCATGTTAGCTGTTCACATTTCCTGTGTTAATGATTAATTTCATATCTTTATGGAGAATATTTTTTGTATATGTATATCGAGGGGGGCCCCCCAGAATGGTGGCGTGGGGCCGATAATGATGGTGTGCCCCCCCCCCATAATATTGGTGTGGGGCTCCCAATAATAGTGGTGTGGGCCCCCCATAATATTGGTGTGGGGGCCCCCAATAATGGTGGTGTAGGGCCCCATAAGGATGGTGTGGGCCC